AAAAAAAAAAAAATCTCCCTAAGAGAGTGATTTAATTTGTCTTAAAGCCACTCTTACTTTCTCCCATAAAACTGAGGTCACGCTCCCAGTTGACCTTCTGCATTTTCTCCACCCATGGGTACTGTCCACTAGAGGTCCCTCTTCGGTGACTTGCTGGTTCAGACTGTGTCTCAGTGTTCTCTGCCACTCCCCTTTTTTGGTTGTGAAATATATGTAAGGTTTACAGTTTTAACTAGTTTTAGGGGTACAGCTCAGCGGCATTAAGTACCTTCACATTGTTGTGCAATCATCCCCACTATCTCTAGGCTTTCTTCATCTTCAGAGTGAAACTCTGTCCCCATTAAGAACTGACTCCCCATTCTCCTCACCCTAGCCCCTAACAACAGCCACCATTCTACTCTGTCTCCGACTTTGACTGCTCGGGGACTCCTCCAAGTGGAGTCACACAATAGCTGTCCTTTCGTAACAGACTTATTTCTGCTGGCATGATGTCTGCAAGGTCCATCCATGTTGGAGCAGATCAGAATTTCTGCCTTTTTGATGGTCAAGCAATATTCCATCGTGTATGCCTGTGCCATGTTTTATTTATCCATTCATCTGCTGGTAGATATTGGGGACCTTTCCATTTGGCTGTGGTGACTAGGGCGCTGTGAGCATGAGTGTACAAATACTGTTTGTTTTTCTTCGTATTGAATTATAGGAGACCTTGAAAGTTCTGGCTTTCCTGCAGTCTCTTTCTTGCCAGCTCTTTTATTTTCTACCTGCAATTCTGAGCAACCTTGAGGTCAAGCTAGTTCCAGAGATAGTATTAAGGGCGCTCTCTCCTAGGATTTTATCTACTGCAACTCATTCATTTTACAGCAGTGAAGTCCTGCCCTAAAGGGAAAGGACTTACTTGCCTGGGCGGTCAAGCCTCTTGGTGGCAAAGCAGAGACTAGAATCCTTTGTCTTATTGTCTTAGCCTCACTTTCAGCTCTTCCTGGTAGCACCTCAACTTAATTAGAATTACACTTGTCTATGTAATTATCATAGAAAAATGGTAATGTTAGTCAAATTGTAAACATAGCTATATACACATATATATTTAGACATATAATCCTGGCATTGCAATTAACCAGTTTCCTTTTCTATTTTCCTGTTAGTACTGTATATTACTTTTCTTCCCATGATAATATAATCTTTTATACATGTTAGTACAATTTTCACATTTAACTGTAAAAAAGTTAACTTTTTAAGCAGGCAAATCTATATTTCTACCTATATTTTTATGTACTTCCCAGTTCTGTCTTTTCTGTATTTCTAGCTCATCTCTAATCATGTTCCTTTAACAATTCAAAAATCCCTCACATGGCGAGTGAGTGTCCTCTGTAATTCCTTCCTGCTGGGGTTACAGGGTGAGCAGTTTAGTGTGTATGACTCCAGCTCTTTCTTTTTCCATCGATCACCGTTCCCCTCCAGGGTTGTGGTCCTGCCCACCCTCTTGATTCCTGACCAGGGAAACGGCAGTTCGGTGGCCAGCACACCTCCTCTCAAGCGGGCCTGCCACGCTACAGCAGGTTTCACCCCCAGAGTGCAGCCTGCCCTCCCTGACCATCACTCACCCTTCGGCCTTTGCTCGTCAGACCTTTGCTCCTCGCCTGTTTGGACCTTTTATTACACCATTGCTGGGTTTTTCTACTGTATTTAAGCTTTTCTAATCATCCTTACTAACAACATTTATTCGACTTAGAATGTCTTTGTTACATTATATAAATTATAGATAAGTAATTAATTATGCAGCATTTTCACCAAAGGATTGTTTTGAGATTGGGCTTTATATATTATTGATGATATTTATGCACATAACCCACTTGCTTTCAGAAGCTCAGGGTAATTAAATATGACAGATGCTTTCTGGCTGAGTTTAGGGTTTCGTTATAGGTAGGTTCTTATTCCTGGTGGTTTGTGCAGTGTGAAAATCTTAAAAGTACATTCTTCATAACAGCCATTTTTGGGGAGCATTTTAGGGCACTGAGTGTTTTTCCTGCATTTCCAGCAGCCCTCAACAGGTACTGTTATCATCTCCAGGAGAGAGAGGGGCTAAGAGAGCCTCAGATCCTTGTCTGTTGTTACATAGATAAGAAGAGTTAAATTGGGACTCCAACCCAGATCCTTCTGACTCTGGAGTCTCTGTGTAAACATCACGATATTTAACCTTTTTTCTTTTTCTATTTTAAAGGAATATCAAAAGCTCTTTCCTGACATCCCCATAGGGTACTCTGGGCATGAGACAGGCATAGCGATCTCTGTGGCTGCAGTGGCTCTGGGAGCCAAGGTGTTGGAGCGTCACATAACCCTGGACAAGACCTGGAAGGGGAGTGACCACTCCGCCTCGCTGGAGCCCGGAGAGCTGGCCGAGCTGGTGCGGTCTGTGCGCCTCGTGGAACAGGCCATGGGCTCCCCTACCAAGCAGCTGCTGCCTTGTGAGACAGCCTGCAACGAGAAGGTGGGTTCTGCCCAGTCCTGCCGGTTCCACTGTCTTGAGAGGGGCCAGAGTGGGCTTATCTGAAGCAGAGTCCATCCCGACTGGTCAGAGCCCAGTCTGAGGGGAGGACAGAGGAATGTCACAGCAATCCGCTAAGGTTTTGGGGTTTGTATTAGCAGCAAGAGAAACTTGAGCAGTTTTTGAGCATCGTGAACCTGTTATAGTTCCCCCAAGTCTTGTTCCTGTGGCCTTGGTGCTCTAGATTCCAAGAGTATAGGTGGGTGGTGTCGTACAGGCCCACTGGAACACCAGCATGGGTCAACTCTGGGTCCCATGGAGTAGATACAGCCATACGACAGATTCAAGCCGTGGGGTTCCCTGAGTGGGGGCAAGGACGTCTGGTGGGTGGAGCTAACTGCAGCCCGGAAGGTCCTGGTGGTGGGGGCCTGGGGGGCAGTGTGTTGTCACCGACTGTCAGTGGGGTATTGCCAGTGTCCTCGGGGTGTTTTGAACTGGGCTGTACTGACCTTCAGACAGAGGGCGTGCGAGGTCAAGGAGCACTGCCTGGCACACTGACCGCCTGGGCTTCTTGAAGTAGTGGCCTAGAACTGGACTGTCCTCTGAGTCATAGAGCCAGGCATCCTGGGGCCACTCGTCTGCTGAGTGCCATCTGGTTCGAGGCAAAGATAAAGTGCCAGGCTGCAGAGGAATGCTGCCATCTTTTACCCAGTGGGCCCTATACACTACCCTCTATTGAATGAAGCAAATACAAGAAACTAGAAAAGTAGCAACAAGAAACAGAAAAAGAAGAAAAGAAATTTCTGCCTTGTAGAAGAAAGAACGGAATTATACCAGAAAGCAGAATGGGAGTTATAGCCAGAAAGCACGTTATTTGGTTCTGAGCCAACAGTGAGTAACAAATGCAACAGTGTGGTAATCATCTGTTGATAACCATTGTTACCTGGCTGTGAATTGTAAACTGCTGATTTTTTGGCTCTATTTCACTCTACTAGAATGATCTCGTAGATAACTTAACAGCCTTTAATGGGGGAGCCTGAAATGCTGGTCCTGAGATTCAGGTACCCTCACTCCCCTGGCCTGTGCCCTCACTGTGGTCACACTGTTCCGCAAGGTGGCACACAAGGTCTGTGCTCCCCACGGGCACTGGGCTAGCAGTTAGGAGTCCCAGGTTCACCTTCCAGCTCCTTGTAACCTTGCCCACATCAGTGCTCCTGCAGGCCTCCATTTCCTCATGTCGAAAGTGAGATAGCTCATTGAAATGAGATTGATGATGACAGAGGGAATCACAATCTTCATTTATCGAGAGCATCTGTCCAGGCCCAGTGCATGTGTTATCACTGTCTTTACGTCTTCTGATGCGATTGAGGAGCTGTTATCCTCCACTTTATGGAGAAGCTCAGCCATAGCTTGTGCCCAGAAGGCACAAGGCTTTGGACCTGGCTCTGTGGCTATGTAACCCGCACCCTTTCCTTTCTATTTATTGTAAAGGCCCCTCATTTCAGCCTCTGACTTCACCCTATCCTGCCGAGTCCCTGGCTTGGGTGAGATCCTGTTCTAGGTGCCGAGTTGGGGCAGCCCCCACTCTCCAGGCACCCTGTGAAGACTGACCAGAGCCTGGGGGCAGGATGAGCATGCCCTAGGCACTTCTGTGAGACTGACACTGAGTTTTAATTTTATTCATAGCTCGGCAAGTCTGTGGTGGCCAAAGTGAAAATTCCAGAAGGCACCATTCTGACGCTGGACATGCTCACTGTGAAGGTGGGTGAGCCCAAGGGTTACCCTCCTGAAGACATCTTTAGTCTGGTGGGCAAGAAGGCCCTGGTCACTGTTGAAGAAGATGAGACTATCATGGAAGAATCAGTAGAAAATCATGGCAAAAAAATTAAGTCTTAAAATAAAATGTCATTTTCTGAATTCTGAACTGCCTTGCTGGTACTGCCAGGTGTATCTGGGTGAGGTGGGGCAGGAGTGGTGATCTCCAGAAACCTGGTCTTCGTCCACTCCCTTTGCCTAGGTGGCAGACAGTTTTGGGCCAGGTCCCGTATCAAGCCTGTTGGAGGGACACAGAGAATGAATACCAGTCTCTGTTCAGATTGGCTGACCCAAGTGGAGCAGGGCTCAGAAGCCAATCATCTGTGAGTCCTCTCCTTTAAGCCTCTGTTCTTACTGGCCACAGGGCCAACCCAAGTGACCCCAAATCTCACTTCCTTCGAGACTTTCAGCTGTCTGTTCTCTTCCATGGCCCTGATCCCCTACCTGCTCGAGTTGTGTGTCCAGAGAGCTGTACGACACTTGGCATTGGAGCAGAGGAAGGGTCTTGCAGACAGAGACATGGGGAAAGCACTCATCAGTGAGCAGAGAGAGTGAAGTGTCACACACACCTTTCAACAGTATGCATGGGTGTCAGGCTTGCGGGGGGCACAGGCAAACAGTGCATAACTCAAATCCCTTCCTCATGGAACTTCCATTCAGGTCGGGGCAGGAGCTTGGTAAACTGAGCATTAGGAAATAAACCACACAGCCTGCTAGAAGGCTGAGTGTACAATGAGGCGGGAGCATCAAGCCGCCTAAGAGAGATGGGAAGTGTGGAACTTGGCATACTGCAGCTCATGATGGCGTTTCAGTAAGTGTAACACTGACATGAGCCCCTGTATAACTCCATAATGACATGATAAATCCAGTGAACAAAACTCTCTCACTATTGTACTTCCCTGAACAGCGGCATGAAACTTTTCAGAGATTTTGAGTCCATTGTTCATTGAAACCAGTGTTGAGATGCATCATCTTTTCAAATGTATTTTCACATCCTTAGTCTCCATACTTACTTGACCTTGTTTACTATAACTCCTCATTTCCAAGTATATATTTGAGTCTCTCTTCAAATGCATGAATTAACCTTCTGAACACTCTTAAGTGTGAGTACAGGGTCTCCCTCTCCTGCGGGTCCCAAAACATTTTCTCATGTCTGTACGTGCGGGTGGGGCGGGGTAGACTGTACTCATGTGTAAAAGAGAACCTTCAAATTGACGTGTCAAGAACAGTGTGATTCTGTCATTTGTTGGCTGTGGTTACTCCCTTGTCTCCCTGTATAGTAGATCTCAAATAAACAATCACAGTGTCTGATTACGTGGCCTTTTTTGCTACAGCAGCAGAGAAGGTAAGACTCGGTAAAGCAGGGGCACATTTTCAGGCTAAAACAGGATGTGGCTCTAGAGGGAAGTTCAAGCTGCGAACATGCAGCAGGTCGTTTCCACAGGCTGCCAGGAGTTGCTCCAGGTCCTGGCAGCCTGCAGTGGTAGAAGGCAGGTGGCCATGCTGCCCCATAACCTCAGCTGGATTTCCCCCCAGGGAGTGGCAGCCACTGTGGAAGAGCCTGCGGTCACAGGGCTCCACCTTTTATCTAGAAGACTGTGGTGAATTGGGGATGTGTGCTGAGGGCGACTGTCGGGCACGCTTCCCACTAGGGCGTGTAGCGGTAATGACACCATGTGTACGATGCGTGGGTTCAAGTGCAGGCATGTCAGGCTGCCGTGAGGGCTGGACATGGACATCTGGAAACATGTCTAGCCCATTGGTGTTGGGAGGCTCAGGTCTAGAAGACACCCCTGTGCCACCGCCAGGTGGGAAATGCAGTGTGGGCCCCACAGTGAGGCAGCAAAGCACCCTTGTCAGAGAGCTCACAGCCTGCTGGGTGCAGGCACCTTCACCATCAGCACCCTGTATGTGTGAATTGTTGAAATGTTTCCAAGCGATGAGGGAGGCAGAGACAGGAGTCATGGGAGATGAGGAAGAAGAGCTTAAGAGCCTGTTGAGTTTGAACTTCATTCTGTAGGTGCTGGGGAGCCATGAAGTCTTCTGAGCAGGAAGACTCAGGCCTGCTGCTGTGCTCATGCTCACCCCTCCTTGTACGCAGCCCCGTCCAGTCATGTACCTGAGGCAACATGGACTCCAAGAACATGGTTGGAAGGGACAGTACGCGTGTTTTATTAGAAAAGCATGTATTAGGAGGCACAGTAGATTTAAAGCAGGTTCACATCCTGTGGCTCACTCGAGCCTCACAGCACTGGAGTTAAACCCCACGCTCCCACGGTGATGCTCTGAGAAGTAAAAGCCAAGTAGCCTGCACTCACACACTTGTAGGCCATTTTTTTAAATAACAGTTTATTTCTACATATTTTTGTGCCTTTTTCCATCTCAGTTGCAATCCCCATGGGCTTCCCATCACCAAATCACCTATATGCCATCACCATAGCCCAGTGCATTTCCCTCCCCCCCGCTGTTTTTGATCCCATTCCCCACTCCATCCCCACAAAATGTATCTGGTATATAGCTGTTCATCATTATCATTATCTTTTCTTCTGGTCCCTTATACTCCTGCTATGAGCGAAACCATTCGGTATTTTTCCTTTTCTTTCTGGCTTATTTCACTAAGCATGATCTTTTCCAGCTCCATCCAAGTTGTTGTAAAAGACATGTGTTTCTTTTTTTTGGTTGCTGAGTAATATTCCATTGTGTATATGTACCACATCTTTTTAATCCAGTCGTCCACTTTTGGGCATTTGGGCTGTTTCCATGTCTTTCCAATTGTGAATAAAGCAGCAATAAACATGGGGGTGCAGGTATCTTTTTGAATCAGTGTTTTTGTGTCTTTTGGATAGATACCTAGGAGTGGGATTGCTGGGTCGTAGGGAAGCTCTATGTTTAGCAGCAAAACTGCAGTTTTCTGACTAGTGCAGGTCCTGGCACCAAGTGGGCATTTGATAAAAGCCAATTTGGGCCCTCCCTGGTTGCGCTGCGGGTTAAAGCACAACACTAAGAATCTAAAGCCACTTCAGCATGAGTTCGATCCCTGCCCTGGAGGTGACCACATGGCGTGGCAGACCTCTCCTCTCTCGCCCATTGCTCCCCTCAGCAGTGTACTCATCAATCTGCCTGTACTGCTCCCCACTCTGTCTCTGGTGAATCCTCTCACCACCCCTGCATCTCTAGTCTGTACCCCAGTTCTGTATGCATAAATAAATAAATCTTTTTTTTAAAAAGCCAGTTTTTAGCCTTTAGTTCAGTGCAGTCCTGACATGTGAAAAGTTCCTACCTGCTGGAAGACCTTGTCTCAGAGCCCTGGGAAGGGAGGGTAGGTACGTCAAACTAGACCCGAGTCCCAGAGTGACCAGGCAAACACACTGCATGGCAGGCCTGTCGAGGAGCAAGGGGTCAGGGTGAGCAGGGGCTGACCAGTCCGGCTGCATTCACGACAGTACTGCCTGGCGGTCATGTACCCGGACCCCAGCTTCCCCTTTAGTTGTGTGACCTTGGTCAGGTCACTCATTCTGAGTCTCACTTTTGCCATGTGTTGAGCTGGAATAACCTACCTCCCAGGGCTGAGGTGAGAGGAAGTGCTCATATTACTTAGGCTCTGCGACTGAGCGAACAACTGTTGGTTTTGAGGAATAGAGAGAGACATGAGGTCAAGTGTACCTAGCTGCCTCGGTCAGGACTGTTCTGCCATCAGAATTCAGCTCTGAGCCATCACCAGTAGAATTACTTTTCTTTTTCTCAGGATTCTTGGAGCACAGTGTTTAAGCATCTATTCAGCAGTTTAGAACCAAAGGCATTTTTGAGTATTCCTTTTCAACTGGTGTTACACGGCTCCATATGAAAGGACCATTTTTAGGTCAAAAATGATTAGAAATTGGCAGTTTTAGTAGTTCAAGCTATGGATGCACCTTGAGTTGGTTTAGGCCATGAGGGGGATTTTCCTCACCCACTGCTTCACCTATAAAGATGCTTTAACACAGCATCACATCAAAACTGCCGAGATTTTGACAAGTTGAGATGCTCAATCTTCAGAACTGAGGCACAGATCCTGAAAAGCCTTCCCTGCTTGGTAGGGGAGCTGGCTACCTGGTAAGCTGCTACTGTTTGGACTTCTATTTCTGTCACTTCTTTTTGGAAAATGAGGCTCTCTGTTTTATTTTGTTTTGTTTTGTTTTGTTTTGTTTTGTAATATCCAGGTCTGAGGGCTTTGAGGAGCAAGAGGAAGTCTGGGCTGCCCAAACCCTACCCATGGCTCCTCTCCTTTTGATTCCAAGGCCATTGAAAATCTGTTGCTTAGCAACTGTCACCTGCTGATTTCTTCCCAATGTCCCCTGAGAAATAAGCAGGACAATCTTGGACCTGAAAGGCTCATCAGACTTCTGAGGAGACTGGGCGTGGTACAGCCCCTAACTCACCACAAGTGACTTAAATCAACTCTTTTTTTCAGGGCCTTTGTCTCCCAGGTGTATAATGAGGTCAGGATGGGTCATCTCTGAGGCCCTCCTGTGAGGCTTAGCTGTTCTGTGAGTCAAAGAGAGACCACTGCTGGTCACTCACTCACTGCCTGGGTTGAAAGGGACTTCAGGAAATTTCCAGGGTGGGAGAGGGTACCATAGTATCTAATGGGTGCCTAAGGAAGCTTCTAATCTAGTAGGAAAGACAGGCCCCCGATTTGTGACTCTGACAGCGAGGAAGATTCGTGTGGCTTGGGAAGGCTTCCTAGTGCCTTACGCCTGGGGAAGACTGAGGCAGGCAACGAAATAAATGTGGAGGGGGGAGTGGAGAGAAGCCGGAGGGCATGGCCAGGGGATAGTGCAAAGAAAAGGGGTGGAGATGGGGCTGTGTGAGACACGATTCTGATCAGCCAGTCTCTGAAAGGAGCAATAAGAGCAAGATGAGGTTAGGGAGCTGGGGGCAGACTAGAAAAGACTTGAATGCCGGGATAAGGTGCATGCTTTCTCACCTTGCTATCCCTTGGGTTCCCCTTGAGCGTTGAGAGATTGTTTCAGGCAGATCTGGCTTTAGGGTGAAGATTGAGAAGGTGTGAAGGTTCAGGTCAAGAGGCTTAAGAGGCTGTGAAGTGACAAGGACATGCTGAAGTGGAATGGAAGAGGCAGATCCAAGAAACAGGAAGAAGGCGCAGGATTAGGTGATTCTCTCAGCCACCTGTGTACTGTGTGCGTGATACGTACCAACGGTACTGTGCTGCGTTAAGGGAGAAGGCCCAAGGCAGAGCACATGGGTTCTGATATGGTCAGGTGCGCTTGGACTGAGGTTTTTCAGGAATCTGGACTACAGGCCATGCAGTTAGGTGCTCCGGTGCTGGTCCCGGTGGGGAGGCCCATCAGCAAGCGGCCGCAAAAGAGCTGTGTGGAGGGCACATCTGAAACTAGCCTAGGACGGGAAACTGTTCAAGACGGCATGGGGGTGCCGCAGAGCGGGTGAAGGAGAGGGACACAGAAAGTAGTCGGCCAGCCATGGCTGGGTCTGCTGAGTTCAGAGCAGCGAAGGGTTCGAGGCCTCACTCCAGTCCCTCCGGCCCCTAAGGCAGCCGGGTGATGCTGATGGTCCCTTCCCACAGCCGCAGCGCTGGGTGCAGGGGTTCCTGGAAGGAGGCGCGGAAGGTGTGCAGGTGGTTCATGCTGCCCGTCACGTCGTAGAAGGAGAGGATGCCAGCCTCGTAATCCAGAAAGACGCCGAGCCGATCCGGGTCCTGGTGGGGCTGCAACCGGCTGCGCTGGCCATCATGGAAGGCCCAGTACTCGAGGTCATAGCGCTTGACGCACCAGGACTGGCGGTTGCAGCCCAGGCGGGCAGGGGCTGCATCCCCGTGGCGTCGCAGGGAGGTGTAAGCCACACCCACCCACCAGCCGATGCCTGCCTCCTGCAGGTCCACTTCCCAGTAGTGGCGGCCAGCGGCGAAGCAGTCGCTACCCAGCACCTGCCACAATTTGTTGAAGCGCAGCGCGGCCTGCGGCCCCAGGAAGCTCAGCAGCCCGAGGCGCACAGACAGGCGGTCGGT